CTGAACTTCCATGTAAAGTTTTAGCAGACTCTACTAATTTATACTTAATGTAAAAAACTTTTAGTTCAGTGAAAAAAATAAGTGAACAGATTAATAGGATTTCAATGGTATCATCTATTTTTGAACTAATTCGAAATGCTACAGATATTGAATCTTTTAAGCTGTTCCAATGAATTATGAGTTTGATACTTTTGCAACTCTTTCGCTGATATAAATTTTTTACTTCGAGAAATGAAATCATTGAGTTTATTTCATAAAATTAACACGAAACTATTATCACTGACCGATGAAACGTAGGAAGATGAAGAATCCTGGTAAGCAGCCTATGATCCTGTATGAGCGGTAACAAGTATAATTAAGTGAGTACTAGTCTTATTCTACTCGTTCTGTATACCTTCTAGTCTTTTTATTTTAATTTTCATTCTATGTATTAATGAATAAGTAATAATTTACACTAATGTTTTGTTTTAATAAGTTATAAACTCAAGCAGTTACATTTTATTCTCTTAAGTTGACTGCTTTCTGATTTATGTCCATGATAGCAAAATGGAAAGATCATTAGGTGTTTTGTGACTTTCATTTTCACACAAGCCTCATCGTTTGGTATAAATCAAATCATCTTGGTTGAATATTTTTAATGCAATAAACGACTTGATTTCTTCCATGATATATTCAATTATTTACTTACTGAATCTGTTTCTTGTTAACTATTCAGATGAAACTTGAGGATTAAGGTATAGCAGCACTCCTATGCTTCATTTCAATTGTGGTTAAATTTATTGAGTCTTTCATTAACTTATTTAACAGACAATGCTATTTGGACACTAACAATTCGTCTATTTCTTTGTACTATTATGATAACTATCTTGTCTGTATAAAATGTACGCCTGATCGCATGTGACAGCATATTCACAAATCTCTAGCTAAAATGTTGATAGCTTAAATATCGCTCGATGAATCATTCTCTTTCCTATATGTACGCGAATCTCATTATTAGACTTTACCTTGCCTCTCTGTCCCTTCATTCGATTTGACTATAAAATTGCCTCTGTATTCGCACGTCAGCACATATTAGCCTTTCTGTTTCAACCTCGCTCGATATGATTATAACTTTGTGATCTGTGTTATCCGCTAATAAACTGTGCTTGTTTCTTCTTATCGCCTTCTGATTCCAAACACCCTTGGGATTTATATAATAACGATTATTAAGGTGATTGATTAACGAAGCTAAGTCACTACAAATGCCTTGGATAGACTATTTAGTAAATGGTTGTCATCATGAATTGGCATAATTTGGGTATGATGTTGGAAATGAATGAGACCTGGGCATCAGTTCGGTAATAATCTAGGACTATTTAGCAATCAATACTCACGATCCCTTAAAAGTTGTCTTAATTTAATTAATCATTTTTAACATTTTAATGATTATTCACATAATGATTTTCATTACAAAAAGAAAATATCCACATGCTGATTTTTCTTTGTTTTGCTAATATGAAATGTTTCAGCGTAAATATTTGTTTATTGTATTACTTTATGTATATGTGGTTTAACATTATGACGCAATCAGTTTCTGACTCAGAAAAAAAAACGATTTGATTTTGTTTTCTGTTTTAGTTATCATAAATGTAAAATGATAGTAAGTGATGTTGCGTAGTACTCGTTAAAATGTTAATTAAATAAACTGTTAGGTTAATGTAACACATATACCGACCATAAGATTGATATATTTGAATTTGTGATACATTATTTGTGTGAAGACTTGTAAACATTTCTTGATTCATGAAATCAAAATAAAGGTGGGACGAAACGCGCGTCCTGGATTCCACTGCTAGCAACTATCCATCATAGTATTATTAGGTTATCGAACAATGAATCAATGATTTGTAATGCAAAGACATCAAACACTTGCATTTTGGCTATGCGAAATCGACACATCCATCAAGTTAATAACTGTTAATTTAATCCCGCTTAACTAAGTAAATTTTTAAGACACTCAACAAATTTTTCGTTTGGTAATTATAGTGTTGAACGCTAAACCAATCACACTTGATGGCGAAACTCTGGAAGAAGTGGAATTTTTCACGTACCTGGGAAGCATCATTGATAAACAAGGAGGATCTAATGCAAACGTAAAGGCGATATATTTTTTTTAGAAGTTTCTGCTGATTATATTTAGTGAGTCAATTAACATATGAACTATAACCATCTGATAGTTTTGCAACTAGAAGACAATTGCATTTGTCTTTTTTCAGTAAGACTATTCGTAACTGATGATATTAAAAATAGTTTTTATGCAATAATGGAGATTCGGTTTGCTAGTTATACACGATATATATATGTACGTATAGGGAATGACTTAAGAATAAGATAACTTTTTTATGTTAAGTGATTTATGACCTCATTAAATTGAACTAATTCTCTTCTTCAGTTTTATATTTCAGTGAAAATAAAACAAATATAAGTAACCTAAAGTAAAACATGTCAATTTAAAAGTGTTACTCAGTGAAGGAAAAGTTAACCAGAAGAAAACGAAACGATACAATAATACCAATAATGGCACTAACTATGGAAGATAACAAAGAGTAATTAAACAAGAAATAACAAGGTACAATATGTCTGTAACAGGAGTCTATTTACCATTAAAAAAATTTAGTTACAGTTCACTCAACTCTCACATTATACCTCTTTATTCCAATCATTTTAAAGTATCTTCTACACCACCAAGTACACTGAATAATGAGCTTTATCATGAAATGGTTATTTTTATGGTATATTTATGATTTGACTATGTTGACATTGGAAATTTAGATAAAATGCTGGTAAGAGAGAAACTGAGAAAAAAATTAGTTATTCATAACATTTGATAACAACTGCTTTAGACACATTAGTAGATAGCAAAGAAAATTTCTAAGTACCCTTTATATAAATTAGTTGACATTTTCTATAGACTACTGTTTTAAATCATGTTGATTTATAGGAGTTTAGGTTACTGAAAGGAAACTGATAAACTTTAAAAATAATATCATTTAGTGGTGAATATTTGAATTGTACTAATGGAATATTATTACTATTGAACAGAACTTATCCTCTACGTAAATCCATGATTATAAGCAGTTATAGAAACAACAACAGAGAAAATATGAAAGTCAATATGTCTGGACATTAAAAACACAACGCACTTGAATGATCTTCAGTTCTAGTCCCGTTTTTACTGTTGCTATATTTGCGATAAAGTATCGTTTAAAATACTAAAATCATTACAAAATTATTCATTTTTTTAAAATGCCTACATATAGTCTAATAACTATAAATTTAAATATAAATGAGTTGAAAGATAAGCTGACTTCATGGTTCATAAGTAGTAAAAGTGTTTTGAAGCTTTTATCTTAGATTTTGGAATGAATAGATTAAGTGTGAATATGTAAGTACTAGTCATGGTGGAATTTATTTTAGTTTTAATGAAGAATACTTTTGGGTTTTCAAATGTAGGAGAAGATTTGTAGCTCAAGCGGATGATTTTGTTCTCAATTAAACCATCGAACTCAGAGAACATAACTCCACCTATATCTTTAAGTTATCTATTACTGGTCTCTCTGTGCATCATTGATTGATTATATTCAAAGGATGAAGACTATACAGACACTTTTCTGAATTAATCAGTAATCATCTGACCCATCAAAAGTTATTTTGAATAATGCTGACAATTTTAAGTGTCTTTGAAGCGTCTTGTAAGAAAACCAGATAAATTTTGTTAATAAGCTTACACCCGTAAGTTGAACGATGATCCAGAACTCTACTCAGTTAATATCCGTTTTTAAAAGAGATAGAAAAATATAGATAAATTTATTCTCTTTGGGGGTTGAATCAGCTACAATTGGTAGTTAATTACAAAACCCCTTTAGAGAGTAAAGAGTTTTCATTTTAAGTTTATTAACTCACGGAGCCAAGAATATATCCAATTGTCCATAGAGAAGCGAGTATAGTATGTGACAATTCACACTTTATTATTTTGCGACTATGAAATGATGAAGTTTGAGGTCGACCATAATTGTATCTAAGTGCTCATGATATGTCTAATTGCGAATCTTGAGAGTTTAAGCTTCTTTCATTGTTTTATATTCACGACTAGTGTGCTTTTTTAATTCACTGTCTTTACATCGAACATAGTTTTTTGTGGTGTGAACTTGAACCAACGTTTTTAAAATTATATAGTATATCAAACTAATGTTTTTGAAAGATGGGAGTGTAGAGGTAAGTGCCCATCTCATAAGGAAATCAATAAATTGAGATGATGGAGAAGATTTGTAGCTCAGGTGGGTGATTTTGATGTTGGTTTGTTCTCTGAGCTGGATGGTTGGGTCGTGGAGCTTTCATCGTCCTTCTGAACGACATCATCAGCACAAACCTCGGTTAGAAGTGAAGTTTTTGAATTTCTTCACATTGGATTCACAGCTTGTTCTGTGCACCTCGATGTTGATTGGTTCTTATTGACCTTAAATCTCTCATCGAGGTGCACAGAACAAGCTGTGAATCCAATGTGAAGAAATTCAAAAACTTCACTTCTAACCGAAGTTTGTGCTGATGATGTCGTTCAGAAGGACGATGAAAGCTCCACGACCCAACCATCCAGCTCAGAGAACAAACCAACATCAAAATCAATAAATTGGAACAAATCGACTTATTCATACCATTAAAAATAAAAAAGATGACAAGTAACTATATTTTCATTTTGGTTAACTGTGTGAAATAGGTCGAACGGTAAACATCATATTTGAACTAAAATACGAATCCGCCCAACTTTTTTTTCTCATCTCTAAGAATTTATGATAACTAACATGTGATTAGTTGACACTTGTGTTTTCCTACTTAAACCTGTAGCAAGATTAGTCCGATAGATACTCCACTTTAAGACATGAGATCAAAGCAGAATTTCGTAATTTGGTAAAAATCATACATTGATCACTTTGACTTAAAAGACAAACAAAAGTCAGGCACTTATCTAAAAATAATATTTATTGTGTTTTATTTAGGTAGTTAAAATCATTAAAAAAACATTGCATATAAGAAAACGTGAATAGATAAGCGTCAAGAGAAAAAATGGTAGAGAAGGTGGTAATGATTGACATGTCGCATAAAAAGTCAATGGAATCCACTTGAAAAAGATTATACATCATATATATATATATATATATATATATATATATATATATATATATATATATATATATTGTTAATAAAAATCACATCATATAACTGTAAATTGACTGAATTGTTCAATAATGGAAGACATTGGAAACGTTAAAATATTTTAACACAAATTGAGTTGTCAGTAAAGCAAAACAGGTTAGCTGAATTACCTGATTGTGTCAAATGATAACCAGTTCAGTTATTAATCCTTATGCAGGAAAACACCTACATACATACATACAAACATGCAAATACCTAAAAACATATAAGAATGCGATAGATTATATAAAATAAATTGGTACATGAAGGGAACTCATTTAATTAAAGTGTAGTGTAACTACGACGATTGCGTTTGTTGAAAACAATAAATACAGTTATCGCAACCACAATACAGACAATTAGTGCAATACCAACACCAATAGGTACCATATTATTAACATTAACATCTGAATCGCATAAAGTTTCTGTTAAAAAAAATTAAAGGGGGAGAGTTTAGCAGTGAAAACAAACGGGTTATTTTCGAAGTAATCTTCAGTGAAAGATTAAAATTTAATACTTACAAGCTTAAGTCTTTGATACAAGTTAAATGTTTTATAACAAAAAAGGAACATCGGTTTATGAAATAATTTTGTTAGCTTGTTATAATGTTTCGTAACTATGATAACGAACCCCTCGATAAATAGACAACAGTAATCTCGACAAAAAGATTACTATGTCTATTAACGGAAGAAACAGATTCAAGTAGAGAATTAGTTCATCGAACTATAAGTGTATTCCTATAAAACTGATCAAATGAAGTATATTTAAGTGAAAAATAATTAAATGTCAGGTTTCTCTGGCAACTTGATTTTTAGATACTATTCACATGTTTTTTTTTACAATGGATTACTTTACGGATACGTCATAGTAATTTAATCGGTTAGTAACAAATTAAAAATTTATATATCTAGTAAAACAAGAAAATTGTAGTGCACACTAACTGAACTATTTATTAAACACAAAAATCAGAAAGCAGAATTTTGTTTGACTTGAATCAGCTATTATTTTAAAAGACAATAAATTCGTAAGTTAAAATGAACAGCCACAGTAAATTTATTAATATCTCCTAGTACTATTGATTACGGTGAAAATTGTAGCGTCTGGGATGAGCCAATACGAAGTTAACATGGTGACAAATTTAAATTTTTATTAAGTTTTAGTTCAAAAATGGTGAGTTATCATTTTGATTGAACATTTTGGAAATAAAGCACTCTCCAAAAGTTTTACTACTAAACGGCGTATAAGTGAAAGAGTTTAACTTATTGGTCGATAAAATTACACAATGTTTCAAATCAATTTCAAGTTAGTTTACTTTGATCAAATTGGTATAACTGGATCTGCTAGCTCAAACATCGTTAATATCATAATAATAACCAATGCTATTAAAATGGCTTTAAGGTTAATAAGATTTTTATATACTTATCTTACTCCAAATGTGGAAATTTTGCTGCTGCTACTATCAGACAGAATGTAACAGACCATACCAACTGATAAGATGATGTAAACAAGATTGACATTTATTATTTATAATGACGAAATAACTAGTTTCATAATACCAATATGTGAATTTCTAATGTTATATTTTTTTGTTTTCACTATTATATGTAATTGAAACCTCATAAATGAGGTAGTGGCTAAAATTTGGTTCATTCCTGTAACATGCTATTGTTTAGCGTAATGAAGATATATATATATATATATAATTGTTGGTTTTCATAAACCCTATTTTTTGTTTACTATAATTCAATGTACTTCTAACATTAGTGCATAATTAAGAGTAAGTGTTGAGGACTAATAATGCAAGTGGAACGATATTTACAACAAACCAGATTAGGTTAATACAACTTACCGTTTCCAATAAATGCTTCCACAGAATTGTTCATAAATGCTTCAACTTTCAAATTCTTCATGAATAACTTGCAGTTGTTAGGGATTTTTTCATTTCCCTTTAGGGTAATTTCCGGTACGGTCAAACATGAATAATATGATCCAACAGGTATTCTAAATACCATATTATTACTAGACACATTAACATATTGACCTAATGATAGAATTAGAAACAGCAAATTACAAACTTATATGAAACCACGATCATCTTACTAATTTTACACTAATTGTTTTGTTATTCCAAAATGACACACGATAGAAACTAATATAAAAAACATATACAAAATCGAGATCCAGGACTTTTTGCTAACTCCCTACAACCATTTAACAATTACGAGTGTATTATATTGAGGAGACTTTTCTTTTAAGATAATATAGAAGAATGAATAAATCTAAATAAGATAATGAGAAGTGTTTAAACGTGTCTTCTCAGCCGCCTATGTTTTCGTTCTTTAGATCTGTTGCAGTTGATTAACTTAGATGCTTGAATGCTATAGAAGTATAAAAAATGGAGACCAGTTTTCTTAAGTAAGACCACTATGTGTTCAGAGATTATTTAGTGATCTAAGTAGTTTTTGCCAATTGTGAGTATATAACTTCAAATTCTGCCATAACTAATTAAAGTATGTTGAAAAAAGATAACATTAAGGTTCAGCAGCTCTGCAGAGGTTTATCTTCGAACGTTTTGCCAAAAAATTACCATATAACTATTTAGAGTCTCATTTGACTTTATTTTAAATCCTAAAGAGATCTTTAAAATGGAGAAATAGCAATAATGGAAAGAACAAATTTCATATAAGTCACATGAAAATGACTTGTTCATATTGAGGTCAGACCATATCCTAGACTTAGACAAATGACTGTTTAATAATGTAAAGATACTCAGACGAATAGGTATAATAAGAAATGAAAGAATTTGCCATCAATAAGATGCATAGGAAACATTTTGGTTTACACCAATGTCCTTATTATAATCGGACATTCAATAATTTGCTTTAAATAATAATATCACTATTTAGTAAGCAACAAGTTGGAACAAAGATGCTTTTTAATTGGCATGAAATTTGTTATTATGCGTTGTTATACATCCATCTGACTCCATTGGCATGGCTGATTAACTTTGGTGACAACTATTTAGTCATGAAAGATAATATCATCTAAGTACTGGTCATTATAATGTATTCCTGACATGACCTTCTTAGGTTATACTAGACAGACTTTTCACCAAAAAGAAACTGAAATAACAATAGCCTACGAAATTGACGATAATATGTGGCATTACTTTTCCAGGTTTACTTTTGAATGGAGTGAAAATCATGCACTAATAAGTTAGTGGACCTAGTGTTTAACACATTGAACACAACATTGCTCATCATCGGATGATGAATAATTTCGTTTATATCGATAAATTCATTTCAAGATGTAAGAATACATGTAACTAGATTTTATCTAGGTATCAATTTTCTAAAATGGCGAAATGAATTGCTATATAGTAAAAATAACAATGTCTATTTCATACAATTCCAACTTCCAGATCGGTCGTGCACAAACCGAATAGCCACACTGCGGATCGTCGTTGGACAATCAGTTGAGTGGAACTCGTCACTCTACATCAACTTTCTTAATTAGGAGAAAGCATTTGACAGTGTGGAAAGTAAAACCCTATGGAACCTCCTTTTTCGACACTATGGTGTACTTGAGAAAGTTGTCAGAATCATCCGGAATTCACACGACGGACTACAGTGCAAATGGTGCGTGGAGGACAGCTAACGACCTAGCCTTTCTATTCAATACACACCAACAAATGCGGGTCAAGACAACCGGTGTAGCAGCAGCCTCTGCATCAGTGGACAACAACATACACAAGGGGAAAAGCAAGATCCTCAAATACAACACGGAAGCACCAACCCATTCGCACTTGACGGAGAAACTCTAGGAGAGGTGGAATCTTTCACGCACCCCATCAGCATCGTCGATGAACAAGGAGGATCTGATGCAGACGTAAAGCCTTCTGTGGGAGAGGACAAATCAGCTTCCATTTGAGGGCGAAATTAGGTAGGATAAGACATATAATGCGTAAATCATCAGACTGCATCGTGAGGAAAGCGATGACTTGGAATCATGAAGGGAAACGGAAAGAAGGAAGATCGAAGAACACACTACATCGGGAATCGGAAGTATACATGAAAAGGATGAATGTTAACTGGAAAGAACTGGAAAGGATTGTTCAGGACAGGATTGGATGGAGAATACTGGTGGTCGGCCTTTGCTCCTCCACGAGATGTAACAGGCGTAAGTAAGTATTTTATGCCTTTATTAAAAAGAAAAAAGTTGAATAATACTAATAACACGAATTTAATTACTATTCGATAGTAATGACGTTATGACGACTACAAATTCTACTGGACTTTACCATAACTTCTTACGAGTATAACGGAATGCTTCAGTTTTATAGTCATGCAGTTGTTCTATTAAATGAGAAATAATTAATTTTGTGACGTAGAGCCTTGGGGATGTCAAAACAGAAGCTCAAACCTAGCTAAGTGATAATGTTATTCATTATAAAATAAAATATTAAAAGACATAACTTACCTGGTGTCAATGAATCCGGAAATAAATTCTTATCCATATAATAAGTTAATGTTATACTGTCCAAAGTATAGATAGATGACATGTTAGTGGCATCATTTGAAGTTTTGTTTGGTTCCATACGATTAAACAAAAGAACTAATGTCCATTTATGTTCTTCGTTTCGCCCATATGGTATGAACGTGAGTGACAACTTTGTATAATGTTCGCTACATACGCTTTCATTATCATTAATAGTGGCATTAGATAAAGTAAATTTGTAAGATTTTACCAGTTTGCTCTATTTTTCAAATGGAAAATAATTTATTAGAGGAATGTCAATCATCTTTAAAATAACTGGTACATAAATAGCTAACAACAGTAGATAAACTTCATTAATTGGGTTTAAATACATCATTGAACACACACAGTGGTTAGAGATAAGTACTAGAATCAATTAATGTGAGTGACTTAGATCTTTTAAGAGTTGCATGGTCTTCTGATCCATTCTTCCTCTCAAAATGTCCTCAACGCAGCTGTGAATTGTAGTTTATCATGGAATTTATGAAGTTGAATACAGGCATAAGAATAAAATAGAAATGTGAAAATGCATTTCTCTGTGGTAACCAATTCATGGATTTATTTAGAGTAGTTGGAAATCTCTGGTGCCGAAAATACATAGCTAGTGTGCTCCGGTCGCATACTAAACAGGTGATATTTCAATTTGTTTTTGTTACTGAACAACTTCTGACACTGATTTACCATATTATGTATAAGAAACCTCGAGCTATAGACCATTAGAAAACTTTTTAAGACGTTGCAAGTAATATTGTATTTCATGGTTCTGAAACAGAATGAGATTTGCATTCAACATTCAGTATACCTTTAAAAATTACGTTGCCATCTATTGTCGGTTGGACTCCGTATTCAATATGCCTTGATTTGTTTCTGCTTATGAGTTAAAATGATGTAAGCCATATGCAATTACGAGTGTTGCATTATAAATCTAATTACTGAATAGAGGAACGCCGTCTAGATGTTCCAGTTCAAAGTCTGAATAATCTGCTTCACTGTCTGGATGATGAACAAAGATCACGGCTCAGAGAACATAGTCAATACCGTCTAATTAAGACTTTAGATACATTCAAAAAAGCCATATTCATGTAAATTTTGTGGATTTTTCATTTACCATCGAGAAATAATTTTAGATTTCATGTTAAGTCACTCAAAAAATATATAAGTAATGATTCATATACGGTCTTTATAATAGAGAAGTTGAGGGAAAATTATTTTCAAAGCTAACAACTAGTTGCTAACCAGTCAAATTTCTCATCTTGTTTATGTATAGCAAAGGCACACAATTGACAATAAGTTAGTTTGATAGGAAATTAGCGGTTTCTAAAATTCGACTTTTGACCCTGGAAGTTTCGAAGTTACTTCTAAACAATAAAAGTAGTACATCCTCATGTATCGGTTATGTGCTCATAGTATGATACATATTCGTTATATCCTTTTGAATACTTCTTTGTATATCAATTCAATGTTGATAATATTTATACACATCATACTAGGCATCAACTTGATGCAAATCTATAGATTTATCCAAAGAGCATTTAGTAATAGTTGCAAAGACGTCAATAACAAATGGAAGTCATAATGATCTGATAATAATAAATAAAATCATTCACGATTAATATGAACTTATGCATTCGACCATAGACGATACCTAAAACAGTGGAAAAAATGCTGCTCACAGAAATCGTTCAAACTAACTCAGAATAAAGCATATATTTTTCACAAGTCGTTTGTAGTCTGCTTGTATGAGGAAATGTAATGAAACATAAAATAAATTGTGATTTAAAAAAAAAAATTTTGACAGCAACTCTCTAGAATAATGCATATACTTACGTGACTATTATAGAAAACTTGAAACATTATATCGCTTTGAAATAGAAGACAGTAAGAGTTTCCACTTTTCAACGAAAATTTGTGTACACTCGGAATAGGTACAACTGTTGTGATCATATCTGTTGTTGTCATTACTGCTGTTGTCTCCATTTCTTTTGTTATCACTTCTGTTGTTGTTACTCCTGCTGTTGTCACTTCCGTTGTTGTCACTCCTGCCGTTGTTTCTTTCGTTGTTGTTACTCCTGCCGTTGTCATTCCCGTTGTTGTCGCTGTTTCCGTTGTTGACGTTGTTTCTGTCGCTATAGTCGAATCATGTGAATGATCTGTTGTGTTTGGAAGTACTGTAGTGGTTGAGTTAGGTTCATCGGTTGTTGTTGTAGATAAATATGGTACAGTAGTACCATTAGCAGTCATGTTATCGTAAGATACACTAATGACTGGAAAAATTATGTCATCAGAATAATCAGTCACTTCTGTTTCTTCTGTCTCCGAAGATTGTGACGAGGTCTTATAACCTGAATAATGGGAGATTTTATTTGGAGAATAGACGGTAGGTATAACAAAAAACTTTTTTCTTAAATCAGTAGACAATTTAGCCAGACAAACTTTGCTTAAAGACAAAAATATTAGTTCCTGATTCTCTAGTATCATTAAGCAATGTTGAGTTCATAGTCAAAAATTCTTTAGATGATAGATAATCAAGCGACCTATCATTGTTACTTTTTAAAATACTTGTCAGATCTACAGCAGTCACATATGAATCATATTTGTGGTCTGTAATTAATCTGTTATAATATATCGACATAGTATTACTAGTGTATTTTTAATGGTTTAGAGGGTTATTTTTGAAAAAATCTCTTTATATTACTCACTTTTAAGGGGATCTAATAATTGATGCATATTTAATCAAACATCAAATCGTTAAAACTTTACATCCTAGTCATCTGATAACAGGGAAAATAAACAACGTGATAAATTAGGCATCACAAAAATACTCTAGATCTGATGAAAATCACTGGTATATAGAAAGTAAAAGTGGACGGTGAGTTATATTAACAGACATTTTGTTCACTATTTCTAGAACAAACAGATGGAAACGTAGTAAAAACGCAGGAGAAAATATGTACTGCTCTTAGTAGCTACACATTACTTTGGGGCAAAAAAGGGAGATTAACTGGAGGAAACCCGATGAAATTACTATTGTAGCGCCAAAGTTAACAAAGAATTACAGTGAAAATGCAAATGATAACAAGCAGAAAAAGTTATAAAGTTCAAAAAAATCCGATAATATTCGGTTATGAGTCATTAAGATAAAAAACTAATCATAGGGGTGTGAGTCTCTTACTACTTTCCTCTAAGTACCATGAAATCTTCCAAGGAATCCCAGGCCCCTCTTTGATTCATATGATTAGTTTGGGGCTTCGTGACCAAATGCCATGTTTTAGTCACAGCAACTTAATACATTCTGCAACATGTGTGATAGGATGGATGAAGCCCAAATCACAGACATTTTAATAGACAAAAATTCGCAATCTTTCCGATGGATTTGTCTCGTAACCTATTACTTTATACTAAGAACGAAAAAATATCTTTGTGATTCCCATATATAAGAGCAATGTTTGTCCAATATTAGTTCTATCACTTTCACTGTCAGTGGATATCACAATAAACAAAACTGACTGTTAAGCACCAACAATAACTTCTAACAAGCTTGCGTATATACCTTCAGGAAAGGAAAGTTAACAGGTTATATGAACCCCTTGTCTGTGAGCCGAAATCTCATCGATCTTACGTTTAATCAGGGTTAGTGAGACTACAAAGTAACCAGTATGCTAAATAATATACTTTGTTACAGTCCAATTCCAAAGGAACATTATCGACTAAGAAGTCGTTAGTGAATGAGTTGGGTTGTGAATTATTGTAATTTTATTAAATAATTAATTTATCGTATTTTTCAAAAACTCTAATAATAAGCTATCATTTAATCAATTATCCACTGTTTCATCGCTTATTATTCAAAAATCACATCTATGTGTTAACTAAATGTATTTTAACAAAGACCAGAGAAATTTAAGTTTCGTAGTCTATTTTTCGTGCTTCATAGTAAAAAAATTCAAATATATAAACATGATAGCCACACCTTCAGAAAATACAAGGTAATCATGACTACTATTTTGGCCTTCTGGTGTTGTGATTGACGAGTTGAGAATGTGTAAGGTTCACATAAGGCTATCAACGGCGCCATAAAAGATAAATGAGTTAGTTCATTGGCCGTTACCAGAACAGGCGAAAAGCACAACAGGTAAAAATAGTACTTAAAATATCTCCATATTGTTGTTTAAACTATTCGCTGAGTCCTATTTTTCTCACATTTTCAAACAACGTCATGTCAAGTGACTAATTCAAGTCTATTAACGGGTATTCAAGAGGCAAATCAATCTGTAAAAAATCTAAAGAATAAATCAAAACTTTTAGGGCCCCGTTTAAACGAAGTCAAGTGTCATATTAAGCTCAACAAACAAAGTATGGCACATATATATCTGGTTTCCCCTTGTACCAATATTTACGTGTTCAAATAAATAAACAGCAAACAAAGCTACAGTTATTTAACGACGGGCTCGCTTTAAGGGTGCTATTCAGCCTATACATTCGAAGTCCAATTTAAGACTTGTCCAGTTTTTACCGCTTTGTTGTCCATGAATTTCAACTCAGTATAGATCACTAATGTATTTTATATTTCAGAATAACATGGAAGGATCATAGTTTTCTTTCGAACTCTGTTCAGAGCAGCTAAATGAATAAGTGTGTTGGGAGATTCTGTTGTTCAATTTAATGAATACAAACGAATATATAAAAAAGAACACATTATTCAGAGTCATTTGAAAGATATTAGGAGCAATCAAAGTTTACGGGACCTCTCTTATTAACCAAAGTAGAGATAATAATTACAATAAGATCACTTACAACGTCCCCTGACACTTCATGGTGAGTCAGAATAAGAACCATTTTCTTTTTTGCTCATGCAAAACGAAGCAAAAAATAACCTTAATGTGCAGTTTTCTTTATAGTCCTTTCAATTTATTATCTAATTCGTGATTCATTTAACCCTACTTACTTACCTACATCTGTTACACCTGGTGGAGGAGCATAGGCCGACCACCAGCATTCTCCATTCAATCCTGTCCTGAACAATCCTTTCCAGTTCTTTCCAGTTAACATTCATCCGTTTCATGTCTACTTCCGATTCCCGATGTAGTGCGTTCTTCGATTTTCCTCTTTTCCGTTTCCTTCCATGATTCCAAGCCATCGCTTGCCTCATGATGCAGTCTGATGATTTACACAATCCGATCCACTTCCAACATCTTTTTCTAACTTCCTCTTCAGCTGGAAGCCGATTTGTCTTCTCCCATAAAATGCTGTAGCTGATAGTATCCGGCTCGTGAATGTTGAGTAAACAACTATTTATAAATACTTGTACCTTGACGATGGTTGTAGTAGTTCTCCATGTTTCAGTTCGTACAGTAGAACTAACTGTCTTAATGGTCGTGTGACTATTTGGTCTGTACACGACCGATCCTTACGGAATCCGGTTTGTTGATCTCGAAGTTGAATGTCTATTGAATCTTTCATCCGCTTTAGCAACACTCTGTTGAATACTTTTCCTAGTGCTGATAGTAGTGTGATGCCTCTGTAGTTCTCACAGTCGCTCAGACCTCTTTTCTTTGGTATCTTGAAATATCCTTCTTTTCAGTTTTTTCGCATTGGTTCTTCCCACAAATCTTCCTGAATAGAATATGAAGCATGATTGCAGTTGCTTTTATGTTTCAATTTAGTGCTTCAGCTGGTATATTTTCAGGTTGTTCTGCTTTACCACACTTGGTTTATTTGGTGGCCATCTTGATTACTTCGATCATTGGTGGAGTGACATCTATAGAAAGGTCTGTGTGTTGCTTCGATGTGTGGTGGGCTCATTTGGACTGGCCTATTCAAGAGCTCTTCAAGTTATTCTACCCATCCGTTCCTCCGTTCTTGAATCACAGTGTTTGGCTTGCCTTGTTTGTTGTTGACTGTTCTCTCTGGTTTACCACTTTTCTTTGCCAGTTTCTTCATTGTATCACATTTCCCTCCCTTTCGGATTTTTCGGCTGTCGTTGCTAGGTCTTCCACCTATTTCTACTTGTCGGCTCTAATGATCCTCTTCACTTGCTTGTTTGCTTCTATGTATTAGGTCTGTATGTTGACTTTCTTTGCTCTTATTCGGCTTTTGTTAATTATTGTCTTCTCGTTCTTCCTCTCTTGAATCTCGTTTAGGGTTTCAATAGGGATCCATTCCTTATGATGATGCTTCTTGTAGCCCAGTATTTCCTGACATGTTTAAGTTAGTGTTTCTTTGATTCCTTTTTAGTTATCCTCCATAGTAAATCATTTAAGGTTTGGAACTAGCTGTTGAGAGCTATCTTGAATTCGTTGAGTTTGTCAGTATTTCAAAAGAAGGCCGTATTCAACCTTTGTAATGCTGTTTCCCCAGTTGTCCAGTGTTTTTTTAGTCTTCCATTGAACTTCTGAGTTTTTCAATAATGCAGATATGACCAACCCGGTTCTCTGTGGTGTGATCCAGTGAAACTCATGTAGTTTTGCGTATGCGTTTGTGAGGGAATATTGTGCCACCCATAACCATTTTGATGAATGCACATAAGTTTGCAAATCTGTCGCCATGCCCGTTCCTTACTCTCAATAAGTCCATGTCAACCCGTGATATCTTCATACCCAGTGTTTTCCATTACGACTTTGGCGTTTAAGTCTCCCATCAGAATGGTCAGGTCGTTCCATGGGCACTTCTTTATTATCGATTGCAACCTTTCATAAGAATGATTTTTATAGTCTTCATTGCTATCATCAATGGGTGCATAACACTGGATAGTATTCATTGCGATTCCTTCCTTCTTTGTTTTAAAGGATGCTTCGATGATTCTTGATCCATTAGACTTTGATTCTATGGGCGCTTCTTGTGCTTTTTTGGACAGAATTAGAGCGACTATCTGAGTATATGGAGAATTTTCTCCTTCGTGACCAGAGTACAGCAGCATCTCTCCCGAATTTATCGTTTTCTGTCCAGCTTGGGCCTAATAGGTTTCACTGATTCCGAGCACTGCCAAGTTTTATCTTCTCATTTTTGTAGCTATTTGATTGGTCTTTTCGATCTTTTACATTGTTGGACATTCCATGTACCAATATTAATTGTTGCTCTAGTTGTTAGAAAGACCATCGGTTTAGTGGCTTCCGAAAAATCTCGGTCTTCACCGTGAGGCATCATAATTCTTCTGAATAAAGATCCTTTGACTCACTGAACAGAATGTAAGTGCTTAAAATTGTTTATCTTGGTTAGCGTTTTTAAGCGAGGTTGTTTTCTACGGAACAGGGTTGCTGACCCAACCCTTCTTTTTTACCCGAGATTCATTTACCATAAGATGTTTTGCTACCCGATACATACATAAATAATTCTTAATAAAACATAGTGACTGTATAAACATTTGCGACTTTATTTTAGGCAATACCCCTTAATTTATGTATCTACACTAAAATTCGCAAACCGAAACTATCCAGACTCTCTGAATATTTGTTTCCAGTTATTGATTTAATGACTGACAAAGACTCCAGTAGTTGGGGACGAAAACCATGAGAACCAGCATCTCAATGCGTTTGGTTGAGTTTCGTTTTCTGAGCTGGATGATTTAATAATGAAGTTTCCATTATTCTCTTGAAGCACGCCATTGACATAAATTCCGGATGAGAGTAATATATTCAAATTTCTTCACATACAACTGACAAGCTTTTCTGTTGGTCTTGTTTGTGTTTGTTTATTGTTGACAATTACCTCGTCGTTGTCTGCATATTTATTTTGGTTGCAGTCCATTTACATCTAATTAAAGACCCTATAAATATTCACGATTTCCAAAACTGGTTTATAAATTGCATCTATTTGGCTGTATTTGCTGTCAGCTGATTAACCTTGTACCAAGTTTGTAGGAATTATCTGGCGTCTTTTGTGTCCCCTTTATCTAAAGTTTCAACATTTTCCTAGTCGAACTTGTATGCGATTGTCTGCAGCCATTGACATGAGTAAAGATGAATCATGGCGTCCGAAAGCTAGTTTGTATTGACGCAGACAAAGAGGGCATCCACTTAGTACGATGTTTTTTCATGCACTCCAAACAGTTTATTTTATAAATGATATTTGATTCTCCTCATTTTGTCACTTCATCCTTTGGTTTGTACAAGATTGATTTGAGTGATCTTGCTGGTTTATTTGCTGGACATATTCAAAATGACCCCGATAATTTTGTTGTAGTTTCTGACATATCCTTTATATATATCAGGATGATTCATTTATTGGTTCCCACCGATTCCATTTTCGCAGATAGGTTTAGTATTTTTTGATTAGGTTTTACGAATAAGCATTTCGATGTATTACATGTACATAATTTATACTTCATATAAAGGTTTGGTTGATTTTGCATGAATCGTATATACCATCCTTGAATCTCAACCATAAATCTAGTTTGGGACTTTTATTGTCTTGTAGCTGTAAATAATTCCCCAAAATCAATAGTTCATTAAGTGTTCGACATTGAATGCTGACCATGTTGTTTAAGTGGACTTGTTTAGCTGAAGGCTTTCGGTCATGTATCCGTACCAGGTCACGTTTCAACTCGGCGTGGGACACAGCTCCTACGTTTCATTAGCCAGCTCATAGAAAAGGTCCTCGATATATTGGTAACGAATCAAATATATCTTTCCTGTCTCTTCTCGTCTGACTTCTGATTTCTATCTGACTGGGAACGATCGAACATAGAAGGTGCTACTGGTAACTAGTAGTAAAATTAGAACATCCGTTGCATCCTCAGTCTCAAATCTTTGGCTAACTAGTTTTTTATAGATTTACATGACGGGCGTAAAACATTTGGGAATAAATTTTGTGAGAGAAATTACCTAAATAATCAAAATATCCTTTAATTTCGAATCAGAATGTTCAAAATTGCCACTGTTCCCATTGTTTTTATTTGCTAGAAGGCAGTACAAATTACGTTTGTATGATTTATTTGTATTCAACGCTAAGATAAAACTATGAGTAAATAAAAATACGTTTCCGTAGCACATGCCAAAATAGTAATTACTTTTGGGGAAGTTAGTTAACAGTTAACGTAGGGACGCTTTTTTCAGCCAAAGCATATCTAAATTGTCGTATACATACCATCAGACATCAAATCATGGACGCTTTGAGAATTGAGAAGCCTGTTTAGAGACAGTTTCTCCCGAAACATTCCTTCTTAACTCAAATACTCTACTCTGTTTTTCTGAGTCACTCAAATATCAACCCACAGCAGATGATATTAGGATACAGAACTAAGATACAGAAAGAAATAAACTAGACAGAAATTTTAAAAACTACATAACTACAAACAAAAATCAAGCTTGAAACGAGCCGTAATATGCGACCTACGAGACTAAGATCAGTATGCTTGTCATCATTTCAAGATTTCACTCTCATGATGCGGATTTGTTTTGAAATAGGAGACACTGTACCATAAGTTGTTGTAGTTAAAACAGTTCCCCAAATTATAAGCGTCAATGCCAATATACTTTCACCATAATATGAATATAACGTTAGTGTAAGGAAAGTATCCAAACAAACCAATGTAGAATGTTATTTTGCGGTAAAGCATCTCAACATCCGAGTTTTGAGGAAATTTCGGTTTTTCACAAAATACTGAGAAATTCTGCTGTATTTATAGATATTTATAAACATACGACGGATTTGTCGCTGTATCGCATACAAACTTCCGTGGATTTAGCCCAAACAAACTTAACTCATTAATTTAAGTCTATCAGTGGTACACTTTCACATGAGTTATAAAAAGAAGATATTAGTTTCATAAGTGACTTACCATCCGCATCTGTAAACCCGTATACATCACTACTGGAAAGTGATAACAGCACGAGAAACAAAAGCTCTGAAAATAACCACATGACTTTATTTCTGAGACTAACCAATATAAACTGAGCTACCTGGCAACATTTCAACAGGAACCAAAGAAATATTTGTAATAGTGACAACCTAGAAAGCTGTCGAAAAAAACAAAAACTGAATATTTCAACAACATAGCTATTTATAATTCCTGCCTCTCATAAACATTATTTTTGTATAAAATGACTGTCTTATCACTCAAACATGGAATTCAAGTCAACGGGACGGCAAGTAGGGCATGTTTTTCTCCGTAACAGTAATCTGTCTGCAATATATTTTTAACCAGAAACACTGAACATGATACTAGTTCATACATGTCTTAGTCAAGCTAAAGAGCTCTACATACAGACGGATGGAGAGGTTCATTTCGAGTGTTTGTGAGCATAACAGAACGAAACAATACCTTGAACAATAATTTCTCAGTAGAGTAATTTTTGGCATTTTGGATGGTCTTGTTAGTTTCAACAGGTGTCAAGAATTGCAAACTGTTTGACAATCACCGTCACCATATCTCCTCGCAATCCAAGAAAAAACTTTCCCTTCGCTCGGTTGATAGATCGAAATTTTTCTTTTTCTCACTTTACGTTCAGGTAAATTATTCCTCCGTAACCTTAGCGTTTTCTTCAAACCTTGCATTTTGAGAAACATTATCGAAGAATCTGAAGATCGTGAGTAGCCATTTCTCTAAACGCCGAGTTACCTCATTAGTTCTAGTTGAATCACCTAGCTGAATGCGCTCGGCCACGCATCCGTACCAGATAACAAGTGTGTAGCTGTAAATAATTACCCAAAATCAATAGCTTTCTAAGTGTTCGACATTGGATGCTGACCACGTTGTTTAAGTGGACTTGTTTAGCTGAAGGCTTTCGGTCATGCATCCGTACCAGATCACGTTGCAACACGGCGTGGGACACAGCACCTACGTTTCAATAGCCAGTTAAGAACGAAGTCTCTCGATATATTGGTAACGCATCAAATATATCTTTCCTGTCTCTTCTCGTCTGACTTCTGGTTTCTATTTGACTGGGAACGAACGAATAAAGAAGATACTTCTGGTTGTTAGTTGTAAAACTAGGATATCCGTTGTATCGTCAAGTGGATACACCGTGATACGCATCCATTTCAACTATCACCGAGCTTGCATGTGCACAATTTCTCCCTCTGGTGAAAGCACTACCACTCGATTTTAACAGATATTAGACATCAAAAATGTTTGCTAGGAATGTTTCTGAACCTTACGATTCTTTAAAGAAAACTATTGTTAAACTTGAAAACCTAACCGACGGACAAATGTTTAACCAGCACATTCACAACATCGAGTTTCAACATGGCCCAGTAAGTGGTATGTTGGTAATAAAAATATATTTCTGCAGGGGCAGGGACACGCCACTTTTACAGGTATGATCTACAAATTACAATGACTGTCAGCTTACAGCATGTTTCCTAAGTAGGGTCGTTAAATAGATAAAATCGATAAAAGTGAATTACAGTACATTTGTGCAGACGTAATGGAGCGTTAACGATAAGATTTATGCTTGAGTATTGCACTGAATACAGTCTTCAAAATATATTTCAAAGTGGAATAGCGTCCATGTTACACGCCAGACCCAAGCTCGGCGAAATTGTGTTAGGATTTTGGCCGTGCTCAATATTTATGCAGCCTAACTTTTTAAGTCTATAATTGTTATAAAGTGGACTTGTAAAGCTCTTGATGCGAACCATGACCTTGAGAAGACGCGTACGTCGAGTTTGTTTCAGATGTCTAAAGCTCCATAGCCATGCTCGCAGAGCAAGATTCCGAGAACAAAAATCAAAAGAGCAGTAATGCATTTGGATATGAATGTTAAACAATACTTAACACTTTGTAGTGTAACAGACAGAGGTACGATAAATTGTTAGATTAAACTCATACCAGCTCTTGTTGCTGGAGTGAAATGTGATCAGAGGCTCCAGATGAGAGAATGCAGTAATAAAGGTAAATGAGTTGTGATATTTATCAAGGCGGAATAGGTTCAAATGATGTAAGGGAAGCCAAGGTTGGAATAAAGAAGGCTGGTTTTTTAGATCAGAGAGTGAACGTAAAGAGTAAAGTGGTAAAAAACCTGATAACTGTGTATATGTATATATAGAACTAGTGTTCGGCGCTGCTTATGAAGCTTGTAATTTTTTTTCTTGTAGTTACATTTTGTCCTCCTATCAGATTTCCATTTTAATTTGACAACATTTACTAGTGAAAAGTACTTCATTTCTGACAGAGTTCTATTGATTTGACATCTCATCTTGTGACTCAATGTCGTACATTAAGTTAGCTATTTTTCACTCTGTCCACCTTTTTTCGTTCATTTACTTTAAAATATTAGCTCCTGACAAATATTGGATCCGATCCTGCTGTAGAACTTTATGCAGCTAATAAGTTATAACAGACGCTGTTCACTTAATACAAACTTTATATTTACTTTACTTCCAATAATGCCCAGGCCATCTAAGAAACATATAATCTCTCCTGATGCCTATAGCACGTGCAAAAGATTACTAAAACGAATAACGTGATGCTTTACAAACACTCTGAACAATCCGCATCATACTGTGATTTTCCTACAGCTACACCAGACGTGCAATATGTACTTGGGCATGACCTGTCACTACTTTGCATCTCGCTTATAGATATAAATAAAAGTAGTCATATACCGTGTGAGTTGACATCGTTCGGTAGCCCAGCCATCACATGTTGTGAGAGGCATTTAGACAGTGTGGTTGACCCATATACAGAACAAACCCACAACAAGCCGTCATGTATAGTGGCCCATGCCGTATCCACAAGCCTATCTACAGTAGTCACCTCAATGATGTAGATCTCGACTACTCCCCTAGACATATCCTCCATTCCTGAATTAAGTATGCACAAGGTGATCACCCGATCGACACTTACAACAAGTCCGTATGCAACCATATAGACCATAGCAACGTTGATACAAAGTTTAATAATCTCACCGGTGGTAGTTCTAAAAGCAATCAAAAAGAACTTGACCTCATCCGAACTATTCAAGACTTATTGCCGCATAAATATTTAATCAGCGTTCGAGAAAATCTTGATTTCGAAATTGAGAAAAACCCTGAAAAAGTAATTGACCATATATCATATGAAGTTTTGAAAAGACCACAGTGTATTCACAATTTCATTGCGTATAATACATCTGATCGTGCAAACGTAACGTTTGCTAAAAATATTCTACTACAAGAATGTGGATTGTCGCAATTTTGGTGTGTAACAAGAAGATTACGTAAAGCACAGACTAAAGCTTCTTGTAACATTCTATTTCAGTTTTGTTGTATCACAGAAGCCAATCACCTCCTTAATAGTCAGTCATTACTGAGGCGTATTCCAACATTCAAAAAGATCAGAATGACCCATGACAGGACTGCTATCATGAACTACAAAACAATCAACCCAGAACACGTAGTAGCGGCAGTTATAACGTCGGCCATTGCACAATTCCTAAAACACCATACCCTGCTCCGCCCAATAACGAAGACATGTCGCTATCTGTTACTAGTTCTAATAACGCGGATGAACATCAAGCAGCTGTTACCATTCGTTCTAACCCCAAACACTCAGCTACCCCAAAACGCCTATCCATCTATGCCTCAATAGTGCCAAAGCATTGCTCTTGCGGTTCCCATAAAAAGCCACACAAAAAATTCTCCTAGGAATCGCTCTAATAGCTACAACTGATCAGACACCGCAATACGAAATAATACCGAAAGCTCTGTTGAAACACACAAGCACTCCAACACCCCTAACACACACATTATGCACCTTTTCACAGCAGTATAATGCCCTACAACAAACATGGTAGGCTGGCAGTACACAATCATCCTAACGTTGGGCTACACCCGACAAAAACAACACCTACACGTGATAACAGTAAGCCATATATTGTGAACGTTGCAATTTCCAGGAACGAGTACACCAAACACAAAAAGAACACCTATCTTGATAACAATGTCAGGTGATCTCCCAATACGTCCCAGAAACATAAGATCCCCCAACTGCATATAATAGAACTAGAACTGCCAACCACACCCAAGGAAACTATAACAATCATCAATACAAGGGGATCATTGGTCCATATAAACACCACATCCTCCACAGCTCAAATTGGAGTGTGGTTGTAATCGATTGTACGTGTTTTTCTTAAGTTCATCTTACATCTGTCCGACAGTGTGTTGGGTGTGAACTCTGTATTATCTAGAATGCACTTGTTAGTATCACAATGAACAACCGAAATCGGAATAGACTCACCTGATCCCTAGAATTGTATACAATCATCATGTCGGTTGTGAAGTGAAACCATTGATATTTATAATTTGCATCATAGACTTTCCAACACTATCCTCCCCCACGAAATAATGTTGGGTCCTCACGTCGCACTGTTATAACCAATTTGACGTTCCCAATTCTCATTATCTCAAATCTCACGCTTCGGTTACTGTATGTGAGTATTCGGGATATACACTGATATATAATTTAAGGTAGTCCATCATGTGAGTTTGACTTGAATAAAAATTATGATACATATTCTTTTTGTTTTTTCATATTAAAACACACGGATAAGCACTTATGTACCCATAAGATGTTTGTGAATAATAATAATAATAATATGAATTGATATGTGTAATTAACACATGTGATTCATCTAGGCTTGATTCACCTGCGAAACAATCAAATGGAAAACATTTATCTGCCTCATACTCATTAGGATAATCTTGAACTTGATTTGGATTCTCTGCCTGTGCAAACTCCATATCTGAGCAAACTGGTTCTGATTGCTTCAGGAAAAATTACTATTGCCTCTGACTCATCACCACTTATTGTATCCCGTGGAAAATTATGAATGGTAACTTTGAGAACTATTTATGGACCAATATGATATGCATATTTGCTATTGTATAGTTGTTAAGTAACTAAACTATTCATATTTGTGTATCTCTTATTAGTATATAATTCCCATTTAAACATTAAAATTAAAACACAGATTTCAGCGAAGGGATCTCTTTTCAACGAATTTATTATCAAGCTGTACAATCGTATATATATATATATATATATAT